GCACCCAAGGAGGTCGACCACCCCTCCTCAAAGAGTACGTTAAGCTTTTGGTGGTCTGCCTGAAGATGACATCAGTTCTCCCAAAAATCTTACAGGCGAAAATGACAGGCATGTCCCTAACGTAAGCCTGCCAAGCGTAGGCAAGGCTAAGCCTGCTTTGAACCGTAACAACCTGTTAGGTATGATTTGGTCTCTAGAGAAAAAAATTGAATCACAGGAAGATCTTTAGTTGGGTGGCTTTAGATCTCCATCAAAAAACTTGTATACTTTACCTCACTATAAAGTGCTCACGCACTTTGCACATGACATTTTTTTATGATGGCGATGATAATATATAATTTCTTATTTGTCACACTTATTTTTGTTTAATATGATAAATATATGGTATTAGAGATGTGACCAAATGTTTTCTACAAAAACTTTTGTATTTTTAATACTTTTATATGCTTTTATGTTTTTTAATTTTTATTATTATTTAAGACATCAAGGGTTGATGCATTTGACCCAAAAGATTGAATTGTTGACTTGCCACTAAATAGGAAAACAATCCTATTTTTGGGTTGGTTTTAAATTTGTATTTTATTTATGTCATCAATAAAAACAAGTATTCTTTGTCACATTTATTTCTCCTTTAATGTGCTTCATTATATATTTTTGTATATTCTTTTTGTATTTTTATCTTTTTTTAATTTTTCTTATATAATTATGACTTCACGCATTGACAATTGACTCAAAGGGTTGAATTATTAACCCACCACCACAAAAATAATTTTTTTTGGATTGAATTTAAATTTATATTTCATTTCAATATAAATAAGAATAATTATTATTTATCATACTTCTTTTTCTTTAAAATAATATATATATAACATTAGAGGTGTGCCCAATTTTTTTGTATTTTTTATTTATTTCTATTTTAAAAGTTTTTTATTTAATTCTGGCATGGATTGGCTCACATGACCAAGATGGTTGAATTGCTTCCTCACCACCAAGATGGAAAAATAGTTCCATTTTTTGGTTAATTTTAAAAAGCATGTATTTTATATTATTCAAGGTATTGGATGTAGATCCAATTGACAGAATTTATATTTCTTGGTGAAAATAATAGCTTAAATATAGGATTCAATTGGGAGTTAAAACCCTAAAATATAAGGCTTAGTAAGAAATTATTGAATGTGGATAAATGTAGTAGTTCAAATTACATTTTGTATCCTTACAATTAGAGAGGGATTAAACTAAAAAATAAGAGTATTTTCGACAAGAATAAGATTCAATGAATGTTTATGCGAGTTAGGGCCTGTTAGTTTCCTCTTAACCCTTATCTCTTAAGAGGAATCTTTTAACTTTATGAGAAAAATGGTTGTTCGTTTCCTCTTATCTCTTATCTCTTAATGTGCAATCATACAAATGATACCCCCAAAAGGACAAACAAAAACTCTCATATATGGGGTCAAAATGAATATTTGATAATTTTCAGAATTCAGAACAACATTCTCTGCATTCAGAGTTTAGAGGGAAGAAAAGTTCAATAAATATACCTCTTAATGTAATTATTGCACTTTTAGATGTCAAACTTCAAAGCAATGAATAGGCCCTTAATACCTTGAATATAAGACTTGATGAGAGGGACGAATGAGGAGAAAAATAGTTGTTAAAATTACATTTGTCATTACAATTAGATATTGACCATATTCAAAAATTGTGATATTTTAGTCGAACAAAAGTTCAAGACTCTTGTTCACACTTTTAATAATAGTTTAGATATTCAATCATTCAAGGTCATCCTATAACTTCTTTTATGACCTGTACTAGTTGATATTTCTTAGAATCTAGTTTCTAAAAGGGGATTAAACAACTCATGGACTAGTAGTGCTACTCTTCTTGAATATCTAAATAATGTCTTCATTTCTTCAACGCTTTCAATAGCAAGGTTGGGACTTATGAGTGGTGACAGAATTCCCTTAGTGTTGTACAAGGCCCTTGTTCCTCCTAGTTAGAGACGTTAGCCGGGGGCCACTCTAAAAAAAAAAAAGAAAAAACCAATACCCTAATTCATAGGAAAGACATGGTAAGTAGCCATTAACCACGTATTTATCCAGTTTAAGTATACAATTTCAGCTTTAGGAGGTGTATTCACCATCTTTAGAATTAATTCCTTCCCAAGAACAAGCAGTATTTCCTCTGGTGGCATCATTGCCCTTTCAGTTTCAGTCTTCGGTGCAGGATGTTTAAAAAATGCTCTATTTTGGAGGATCTAAAAGAACAGATTCTAGAAAATTTTGATTTCTCAACACCCTCAGGAAGCCAGAAGTAGGTATCTGATGCGATTCTTGTCAAAGCCAGTCAATGCTTGCAAGAGATTGAGGACTACAAATGCATTATAGTCAATCCACTGATGAGTAATGCATTATTGCACAACCAAATCCTGCTAGGCTTATGATCACAGCTAAGAAGCTTTGAAGAGACTGCTCTTTTCCATTAGGGACCATGAATTATATTCTGTGTTGTTTATGATTCTTCTATCTTGGGTTTCTTCACATGGGTTTGACCATTTTTGTAAGAATGAAAACAAAGAGATGGAAAATTTTGGGTACAGAGAGAGAGAGAAAGAAGGAAGTAAAGAGAGAAGAAAGGTTAAAGTATATGAGAAAACTAAAAGTGAGTCACCAGCCCTCTCTATTAGTTTATATAATAAATAATCAAAGTGACAAAAGTACCCATTAATGACAACACGAAAACAATGATTCCCCCTCAAGTTCGGTATAGATATTGAGCATTCACTTATAACCTACTAATTCCTTTCTATGAGGAAGATAGCCAAGCTTCCCAATGTTATTTTTCATCAGTGCTTCCTTCTCTTGGTTCAATGCATCCTTCCACTAGGATGGATTCATCCAATTTTCACTATTTTTTATAGATAACATGAAAATTTTATTAATATAAGGAAAAGAATCAGTTATAATGTACCAGGTGAAAGTGCCCAAGCACCTCTTAGGGGACAACCCCCCCCCCCCCTCAATTAAAAATTCCAAAGCCCAATTCATTCATTCATTTCTTTTATGGTTTGAACATCAATGCCATTTACCAACTCTTAAACTCCATGGTATTGTGTCACAAGGTGGTGAATAGTATTCAATGGCTGTTTGCAGAACGGTTGGGATGTCGGGGTATCTCGACGGGCAACTCTTGCAACACCCTAGAAGGCCATTCACGGAATTCTACCCCATTTTCTCAATCTGGTCAGGTATGATGTTAATTTTGGAAACAATGTTCTTTTTTGGGAAGACATTTGGGTGGGCAACCAACCACTTGAAGGCATTTTCCCCTCTCTTTACTCTCTTTTCCTTTATAACAAAGAGCCAGTTTCCAGTTTTATTTTCTCCTCAGCTTCTTCTGTGGCCGTAAACTGGGATTTTGGTTTCCGTAGAGAGTTACGTGATGATGAAAGTGCTTGTGTTTCAGATTTATTGTCTTCACTTGAGTTTATTTGTTTAGATCCCCTCAAACTTGACACAAGAATTTGGACCCCTAACCGAAAGGTTTTTTCACTTGCTCCTCTTTCTTCATGTCCCTTTGTTCCACTTCTGCACCTCAGAATTTCCCAGTTAAAGAATTTTGGACTAGGCCCATTCCCCCAAAGATTGCTGTTTTTTGTCGGAAAGTTTATTATGGTAAGATTAATACCTTTGAAAACCTAGAAAAGAGGAGATCAAATTGGTGCTTATCCCCTAATTGGTGTCAATGGTGTGTTCTTTGTAAACCTCAGAATGAGGACTGTCACCACTTAATGATCTCTTGCTCCTTTGCTACAATTTTATGGAATTGGATTCTTATGTTGTTTGAGTGTAGGTGGAACCTGCCATCTTAATACTAGCTTGTTGTTTAGTCCGTCTATTTTTGAATGGCACACAAAGAGAGGGAGAATTATGTAGAAGTGCATAAGAGCAACTTTGTTGTGGACGGTTTGGGAAGAAAGGAACACCAGAATATTTTGTGAAAAAGAAACGAGCTTCTCGAAAGTTAAAGAATGTATTCTGACAAGGGCAATTCAGTGGCTGAAAACTCTAAAGCTCTTTGATGCATACTCTTTTGATGACCTATGGAGAAGCTGGTTAGCAGCGGCTAATACTTCTACCAGGACGGATAGACAAGGGGTTGAATGAATGCCACCAGGGGAGGAGTTTATCAAGCCGAACTTTGATGGGAGTAGCCGAGGAAATCCAAGACCCTTCAGGCATAGGAGTGCTGAGAAACAAAGATAGTAACATTATATCTTTGTACTCAGGTCCTGCGAGTGTGGGAGACTCTTTAAGGGCCAAATTACTTGCTGTTGTACAAGGAATCCAGCTTGCAAATCAGCTAGGCATAGAGCATCTGATTATTGAAGGGGATTCCCAGGTGATAGTGGGTTGGCTGAAGGATCCAGACACTGTGATTTGGGGTTTTATAGGTCTTCTCAAAAATGTTAAATGGTTATTAAGGAATATGACAATCAGAGTTCAGTGGGTAGGCAGATCAGCAAATTCAATGGCTGATTCACTTGCTAAACAAGGGTTCTCCGGGATACTTTATTTTTGGCTTCTGTGTAATTTCTTTTGTACTTATAATTCTGTAACTAGCTTTTGAAGGAAAGGTCGCATCCCGTGCCTTTCTATGGGTTGCATGTAACTCTTATTTGCTGGTTTAATAAAATTTCACTCATTTATCAAAAAAAAAAACCTCCATGGTATTATGTCATACCAATCAAAACTATCAGACAAGAATTTTTCTGAACCGTTCACCATAAAACTCTTCAAGAAAATCTTAAAACTTGTTTGACATATTAAATTCACCACAAGAGAAAAAACAAAAACCTTCCTCACCAAACTCTTGGGTCTTAGTTCTTTTAAAATAAATCATTTTCTATCTTATTTATCAAATGTACAGCCAATGACATCAGCATATCTTGGAGAATAAATCAGCAACGGAAGTAGGAAAACATGATAAGAAGCTCTGAAACCAACTCACATTTGTCTGAATGAAATTGAAGTAGAAAAAAGTAGGGAGACAAACATAAAGAGAAAAATGAAAAGGAGAAGAATAGATTGATTGTCTGAGAATGCTGAGAGTGAACTATCAGCCATCTCTATTAGATTATAATAAACAATATCTTGGAATCACAAATATATAAATATCAGCAGTAACAAGCCAGCCTCTCTAAGGGAACCCCTTCTATTCTCTATATTTTTTTCTAGTTAATAGATACTTTTAGTTAATATTCTTTTAGCCAAAATAATAAAAAAAAAGAAACTAAGAACATAATAAAGAATGAGAGGGAAAAAAAAGCTCAATTCCATCATGATGATGACAGAAAATGAGAAAGGACAGGAAAAGGTAGACCCAATTTCAATATGAATATCAGAAATAGGTAAAAGAGATAAAATTAACCAGAGGGCCATTACCCAATGTTGGTCCTGACTATCCAGGGTCTTGGAGGGGTGGACTGGATATGGACCTAACCTTTGGCAATTTTACACAAATGAAATGTGCATCAAAAGCTAACTGCATTCCAAACCTCCAGAGACCAGCCAGTGCATCAAAAGCTTTCCGCCATTCAAATGAAATTAAAACAAAAATGCAGAATTAATGATATCTCCAATGTACTTTAGATCAATACAAACCTGTTTCCTTTCCAGCCTTCACCAGAATAAGCATCTATCAGACTTTGCTCATAATTCATTCGAGTCAACAGATACCTTATACGTTTCCTAATTGTTGAGAATTCATCATTCAATGTTTTGCTTACTTTTTTCTTCCTCTTTCTCTTCTTTCCACTTTCAGTGGTAGCATTCCCCATATTGCTACTGGGAACAGGAGGTTTAGAAGTGCCACGTGACATTGACCGAAGAACTCTGGTACTACTTGTTGAAGATCTTAACATATATTTTCTTTTTATTGATTTTGACGAAACCTTGTTTTTCTTGTAAGCAGACCTGCTAGAATTCTTGGTCACAACCTTAGATTCAGGTTCAAGTTTTTCAGTATCGGCAACATCAGATCCCCCAGCCATAGGCTCTTTTGGTTCACTTTGTATGTTTCCAGAATCAAGTTGAACATTCTGTCCCAATTTACTTTCTTCAGGACTTGAAATTTTCTGTTTGTCATCACTTTCTTTCACGGGAGAAGCAGCACCCATGTGCATCACCTACAATAGTTAATCAACAAACACAGTTATTCCAGTAAACTGCAATTAACTGGAAAGTATTTGTCTCAATATGCAATGTTTCTTAAGAGGATTTTTTTTATCAATGAGTTTCTTAAGAGGATTTCATACCAATGGTCAATAGAATTAGGAGATGGTGATGATAATGACAAAATAGTTTTGCCTTTCAAAATAAAAGATAGTTGCAAATTCTGATATGTTTGGGACTTCTGAGTCTTATCTAATCAATACTCCTGCAAGAAATGTGAATTAGATGATCAATGATTTGTGAGTAGGAGAGACATTTAAAGCAAGCACAGAGTAAGTTCGCATATTATAAACATATAACATGCAAATTCATGTAATTCAACAACAAAAGTACTGTCTGAAATTGAAATGGTCAATACACAACATTTTAGCACATGCCCCAAATCCAATCTTCAAGGTGTGTTTGTTCCTCAAGCCTTGCTGATCTAGTGACTATTATTTTGCTGGAAACTGAGAAGCTTGGTAAAACGTAAGTCATCTATCAAAAAACAATTCCCATCATGTATCATTCTTCTTGGATGCATAGGCATCCCTATATTCTAGATAAAGATACTTTTTCATTCCTTTACGACACCATACAAAAGAAAAACATTATAATAACTAATTTCTCCAAAGTTGTTGCTATGGATAACCTACATAGGATTAAGAAAGAGATGGGTAGATTTGAGAAACCTAAATAAGAGATCATTTCCTAGCTAAAGGTGGTTAATAAAAGAATAAATAGGGTAACTAGTTGGTTTATTTGAAGGGGTCCTTAATCCCAATAACCAATATCTCTAATTAGGCGGGGCACAAACTCCAATGAAGTTCTTTCCCTCTCAAGTGCAACTCTAAGTCTTGTGCCAGTGGGCTGCCTGACCTTTGGAGCCAATGGATCAAGCTGCCCACCTTAGCACCCAAGGACCTAGCCTCTTTAATGTAATGTCACAGCTCCAAGGCCCTCTTCCTTGCCCACATGAGAATTGAGAACCACTTGGCAAACAACCTCAACCTCCACCCAAGCAAAAACCTAGGGAGCAAAACAACCCCAAGCCCTGAAGAAAATACATGATGACTCTGAACACTCATAAAGCCCAGATTACTAAGATTGCAGCCATCAAAGATGAACTTGACAACCCGCTAGGAAGGATCCAATGACCAATATGTTTAATGATTAATGACAAGACCACATGAGAGCACCACCCTCTCAGTGAAATTGTAGATGCCCATCTATTTTATTCAGCAACTTCAAGAGAGAACTTCTGAAAAGTTTGTCCACTTCTTTAAACAAAGTCCAACATAATAAAAAACAAAGAAAAAGAAACATATTGCACAGAATTTGGCCTCTTTCTCCTTTTATAATGTACCAGCTCTTCTGACAGGATCATTGAGGCATTCAACTGACGATCAAAGCGATTTGATGAAACCTGCTCAGAAATGAGCATATCATACACATCTTATATATGTGAATGTTTAATCAATACAGATACAAGGAGAATGCATCCAATAGCACAATTACAGTGTTCCGTGGACAAACTCAAAGAGAAATATCGATTTGGCACTGTAATCCACCCAACTTAATTTCTCATCAGAAGTCCCTTGGTGACCTGACATTACAAATGCTGCAATACAACTTGAACTTTCTGGGTATTAAGATATTTCTATGCATAGTCAAGTTAAAAAATAATCCTCCTCAAGAGTCACCATGGTTTAGTAACTATTTCAAGATCCACAAAGAACTAGGCAACAAGTAATTCATAATTCTTTGCTTCCATACTTTTAGCATTTTCTGTTGGCAGTTAATGCCAAATAACTAAATCTACAAATTGCACTCTACAAGTCCATCTTAAAGAAGGCTGTTGAGTGTATACATCCCGAGTAGGTGCATTTCTCACCCAAACCTCTTAAAGTGCTCAGTTATAAATAAATATTGGCGACAATTCAAAACAGGGTACCCATGCCACTAATAACACCGACCTGACGAATGTGAATGGTTGACCCTACAAAACCCAACAGTAACGACTTTCAAGTTAAACGTTGAACCCATGTATCTCGGGTCTCCCAATATTCTTGTCGCTTCGGCATTTATGCTGTCCATTGTAAAACTACAACGTTGCAGCTTATTTTCTGAAAGCCAAACCTGGCAGATATTAAGAACACTAAGGCTTCGGCAATTGAAGTCACTGAACCTAAAGTTGAAACGTTTGGTGTGTAGAAAAACATAGTCACTACATGCATTCAGCGAAACGGTGTTACTATTTTAAACCTGCATTGTCCAATGCTTTCAACGTAACCCTAGCTCGACCATCTAGGTCTAGATAATTAAGACCTTAGCCAATACAATTTCAAGGCCCAACATGTCAGAAAGAAACACTAACTTCGGCACTGAAACGCAGCTATCCTAATTACTTGGGATTAAGAACACAATCCATTGCAAAGCTCCACACCAGCTTACCCCATCAAAGATAACATGAAAGAGGGGAGAAGTTAAAGAAAAAGAAAAAGAAAACAACAACAACAACAAGGATTGGTTTAGAAGCTTACCTTATCGTCCTCTTGAATCCGTTAAGCTCCGCACCAGTTGGACGGCGAGAAAAGACAGAGATTCAGATCGGATAAAAGAGGAGACTGCGAAAATGTGGAGGAGAGACCGCGAACCGAAATGTTTTCCCGCCTTTCAGATCGAAAGGCAGATTAATAGAACATTTTTATTCTCTTAACTCTCACAAAGCACGTATTTTAATGTTAACTTGGTACCGTATGTTTGTGTGATTTAAGAGGTTTTCGGTTTCCAATTTCATTTTTATTCTTGGAACCCAAACAGCGATCGCACCACCGCTTTCCGCTCTGTTGTCTATCTACCTCTTCTTCCGAAGCTTCTTGGCTTCTTGCCGATCGAAAAAAGACTCTGACCACGTGGCATGTGTTGCCTCTTCTGCGTGCGTTTGCCCGAACAACCTAGAATCCTGGGCTGGTCGAACCACTTTTTTCTTATGACCATCCACCAATTCAATGCACACCGTCTTACGTCATGCTTGACGCTCCAATACTGCTGTTACCTGTTAGCCGTCCGATCAATAGCCCGCCGCTTGATAAATAAATGAAAAATGATAGCTATAACCGTAAAAACGTGAGACTGATATCACGTGACCTCAAACTTTTAAAGTCTTAAAGTCGTTTCAGGCGACGGGTCATAAATTTCTGATATCACGTGACAATAGGTAGTTCCACTTCTAGGCAATAGGCTGGGATGACAATTTGGGTCTAGGTCTTTTAGATTTTAGCCCAAGCCCAACCCCCCACATATGACATATCGTTGTTTCAGACTTTCTTTGGTTATATAATTCAGCTTTTTAAAGCTTAACTTAATGAGGCAAATTCATTAACAGAAACTATACAATCAGAATAGATACAACCCTAAAAAAATAAAAAGCAGGGAAACATGGCCAAGTAAGAACTCTAGAAACAGATAAACCATAGCAAGCGATAATGTACTCTGCCTTGTTGTGCTAATTCCGAAACCCAAGCCTAAATCCATCTACGATCAAGCCCAAATATCCCGATTAGGCCCATCTAATAGCCCCAATCTAAACACAACCCATAGGAAATACCGAGTTGGGGTCAAGTTATCACCACATACTGAAAACTACACAAGTTGTTTTACCTGATGAAAATATGCATCTTGCAACTTAGCGTGCAAAGATCTATGCAACTTACAGTCGTTTCGTTTAAAAAATGATAGTGAAAGAGTGGAGCTCGGATCTGCTATACCCACACGACTCTGCACTTATGGATAGGGTGGGGTGTGGGTAGCGCCTTGGGCAACATATTTCGAATTTGGCATTCTTCCGCTTGATTTGCATTCAGAATTGGAATCAGAATGGAATGATTTATTCCCATAGTCTGTTTGGTTTAGACAGAAATGAAAATGGAAATTGAAATCAGTAGGAATGGAATTTTATTCCTAATGAAAGGCAGGGAATGACCATTCCCTCAAATGGGAAATGCCATTCCAATAAGAATGGGAATGGAGATTCTGATTCCACTCAATCAAACAGTTAGAATTGAAATAATCTATTCCCATTCTAATCCCAAACCCTTATTCCCACAAACCAAATGGAGCCTTAGTATTAACTACAAAAAAAGAAATATATCCCAAAAATAAGGAATGCTAAATACAACCTTAGAGTAGTATTATACGGCTTTTCCCATATTTGTTATAAGCCTCCCTTAAACTATATTTTTCAGCGAAAGGGTTGAACACCGTGGGAAATGCGAGCTGGGCTAGAACCTAGAAGCCTTTAGACTGGCTAAAGAGTTGGGTGCTGGAAAACTCATTATCAAATGAGACTCAAAGATGACAATAGATACTCTCAAAGGCTCGATTCAAGCTACGTAGAAGATAGTGTGGGAGGGTAACATCAGCGTTTTATACTCTCAAGTCCATCGCGAGGGAAATGTAGGGAATGAAGGTCACTCGAGGTGGATTGCTCAACAGGAGATCGATGAATGAAGCTCGAGTTCATTTCTCTTTCTGTTGCCTTAGGTTGCTCGTATATTAGGTTTAGTAATATCTTGTCCCATCCTATGAAAAAAAAAAAAGTAATATTACAAACAGATGGCCCCAACTTAGATGGTCACTTGGCGTCCAATCCAATATGGATGCATGAGATAAAATTCATGCAGTTGCAAGTTCTCTGTGGTACTAGGTTTATGTTTGGTGGGGTTTAAATTAAGCGTTTTAGAAGCCAAAAACACCCTTTAAAAGCGTTTTGGTGAAAAAGAAATAACCATTTTTTTCCAAAAAAAAAAAAGCCCATTAGAGAAAAAGGCAGTTGATGAGCGGCTTTTGGCTTTTGTGTTTTCAAGAACTGCTTCTTATTTTTCATCTTAGCTTTGCCCATTTAAATTTTTCTTAATACTCAAAATGCCCCGTTGATTCTAAAACCTTTAACCCATCTTCTTCATTCCTTTTTGTCCTTATCATTTTTCACTTCTCACCACTTGCAGTATTGGTGAGCTATAACAAGGTTCGAATTTTTAGCCAATTTTTTCTTGTTTTTCCCTAAAAAAATGGTTGAAAAGTAATTCTCACCACTCCATGTCACCCCTTCCAATGAAGGGTAATATTGTCTTTATATTGGAAAAGGCCTTTTTTTTAACCATCAATTTTGTCACATAAGATTCTAAAAAAAGCCCATTTAGAGGCAATAAATCTTATCAAACCTAACTTTAAAAGAAGAAGAGGAAGAAGAAGAATCCCAAGCAACGTGTTTACAAAAAATAAAAAAACCTTGATGACCGATCCAAAACCTCTGCTACAACCAGCCTGGGACATTCCCACCAGTCGGCACCTTGCCTTTTGCCTCCTCCTCCAATTTTTGTTGTTGTCTTTTATTGATGGGCCAAAATTTACGTGGTCCCCATTTTACATGAGACATAATTGAGGCAGGAGTAAAAGGTGGTGCAAATTTTAGATCAATTTTTGGATGCAAAAATTGTCATGCCAGTAAATACATGTCAGACCCCTCCCCACCCCCACAAAAGAAAAGTATCAGACAGAAGTACAAATCATAATTATAAACAAATTACTGCAAAATTGAACCGGGTGCCAATTTTGCATCCACTTTTAATTTTCTCTGCAAATAAACAGAGTTTTTGGGCTCTCATTTTTAAATTTGCAATATAGAATGAAGTTGCCGGAAAGAAACACTTGTTGCATACACTTGCTGCGGTTTTTCCCTCAAGGCTAAAAATTGCATCATGAATAATGCCACCAATGTTAGTGAGAGGAATACGTGAGTCCTCCTGGTTTTGGGCTTTCCAATACTTTTCCAAATCTACGGGCTTCAGCCCAATGGTCCATGTTATATTGGTAATTTTCCAAAATCCCAAATAAATATTATCCATTATATTTTTTAACATAAAATTTGCCCATAAGAATGAATCAAGTATAGTCATGTAACTTAGGGTTGCCCAAGTGGCTTCAAAACTTGCTGGTGCGTGGGTGATTTGAAACCCAAGCAGCAAACGAATTTTAATAGCACGAATTTCCTCTTAGAAACTATTCTTTCACCTCTTACAAAAATGGGTGGTCTTGCTGTGTGTGTTGGCCATTTATTGATAACAATAATAATGGTAGTTTATTAAATTTATTATATAGTACAAAACACGTTCCTTCTACTTATGGGCTATCGCTAGATCATAGATGTGGTCGCCTATCCACTTCATGGAGAATAAACAAGTGGTCAAGTGGAGTTAGGGTGCAAATTGGGCCGGGCTAACCGCTAGCCTGAAAACCAATCCTAATCCCCCCCCCAAAAAAAAAAGTCAGGTTAACAATTGGGTTATGATTAGGGTTGAATTTTGCTAATACGACCTCACTTTGGATTGGGTTAGGATTGATTCCTTGGGCAACTGGACTCAACCTTACCTAACCGAACTCTACCATTGCTAACCGGACTCTATTATACGGATACTATCATAATCCACTTGTCTAGAGTACTGGCCCTATTGTCAAGTTGTTATCAATGATATTAATTTTATTATTGTTGATACCATGATTTTAGATTTTCAATAGAAGATCCATCATAATGTATAATGGACTAAATCATTTCAAGCATTCTTCCATTTTTTTTTTTACTGAAAACCGATAAAAACATCAAGCAAGCATATACCAACAAATAATGTTGTCGCAAAAGTTGAATTTAAGTCTTCTAGACAAAGACTAAAAGAATTTGAGATATTTTTATGAGATTTGAAGAGAATGGGAGAAAGACTGAGTTGGGCCCAGCCCAACTCAAAGACAACTTTGGATTGGGATCGAGGAGAATTTAGGTTGGGTTAGGGTTAGATCGATTAAATCTGGTTGAAGATCACATTGGGTTAGGGGTGCAATCAAGTTGAGTATCAGGTTGCTTGAACTTGAGCTCAGCTCAAAACTCAACTCGAGCTTAATCGAGTTTCATGTATTTGGCTTGAATTCGGCTCAAGTTGATGCTCATGAGCTAATCAAGTTCGGTTTGACTCGAGTTGATTATAAATAAATTATTTATTAAAAATATAAATAAATTAATATTATAAATACTGTAAAGAAAAATATATATTTGAAAATCAATTAGAAATGTATTTATTTATATTACAAATATGTTAATGTCAAAAATTAATGTTTATTTGTATTATAAATGCAAATATATTAAAAATGGTATTTTATCATAAATTCAATTAAGCTCACGAGCCACTCGAGCGGTTATTGTGAAGCTTGAACTTGAGTCGACCTAGTACTTGTCTCGAGTCAATCTCAACTCGAACCGAGCCCAAGTAGTTCGTGAATATGCTTGACACGCTTACACCCCTAGATTGGGTTAGGGTTAGGGATGGGGGTTAAAACTTAAGCCTCGGGTTGGGCTAGGGTGGACATTCTTTATACCCTTTGCAATATATAAATTTCTATCTAGGTGGATTGACTATTATGTTGATTATTTAACACAAATTCTTCCACTTGAGTTGTCTAAGCAAATTGCACTATAAACAACATAAGAATCCCGTAGATGGCATTACAAATTTACAATTGGAGCCCTCTAGTCTCTATCACCCTAGATTAGATGCCAAGTTTTATCCCCATCCCAAAGTTTGCTACCATAAACACAAGTCCAAACTAAGTCCTATTTCCTTGTATTTTTTAATTAAAAAATGACAAAAAAGTTTTTAATTATGCTTTACTGAAAATTCTAAGAATCTAGGAATTTGGATTCAGTCCTCACAAGACGGTACTCAAACCGTCTTCACAACTATTTGCATCATGAATAAAAAAATATAAGTATGGAGATAGTGAAGCATATCTCGGAATCTAGATAGACGGCTATCTCTGTAAGTATGAAAATCCA